CACCTCGACCGAGACTTCCCACCGTCGTACCAAAATCGGCAAGACACCTAGCTCGCGATGGGACGTCCACGCCACGGGGAGAACTACCCCCGAAACGGTCCGGCCGCACCGCCGGCCAAACCGGAAGGTTCCCTCCACCACCGGTAACAAGTTTGTCGAGCTAACACCCGGACAGGCCCAGAAAGCATATCGAAGCATGCACATCAAACATCATTCAAGCAAACAAATAAATACGAAAAAACGAGCATAAACATCATGCAAATACCGAGCGCACACTTAGAAAATTCACAAAAATATATTAAACAAAAGCGGGCACCAACCCAGTAGTTAACATTACACGAACAGGGGCGCGCAGGCCCGACAAAGAAAAACAAGTTATAAAGTGTCGGCACGCAGGCCATAAAAACTACGAGCACGCAGGCCCGGGAACCTATGCCACCTCGCCCTCTTGATCAGCAACCACGGGGACCTCCTCGGGAACGACAAGCTCGGGGTCGACCACCTTCCCGCCGACGATCTCATGATACGGCCCAATCCCATCCACTACTAGCGCGACGCCGGGGTTGACAACTTGGATCTGCGCAATGACGCTCTTAAACCCGACCTCGACAGCCTCCAAACAATCGCCTTCCAACACCCGAATCCGGGCGACCAGATCAGCACGCGTGATCAACCGTTGGTCCTCCTCAGTCTCGTCCTCGGCCGGACGAAGCGCGCTGTCCAGGACTTCCATACGGACCTTCAGCGCCCGCACCTCGGCCGTTGCCGCCTCCAGCTTCTCCTCCATCGAGGTCACCTTCCCCTCAGCGCCCTCCGCTCGCTTGCGTTGGTCAGCAACATCTTTCTGACTCTTCTCCAGTTCCTCAGTAAGCTTGGCCAGACGCGAGTGCATAAAGGTAAGGTCCCCCTGCAATTTGGACAGCTCAGCGGCAGAGCAGCCCTCCTCGTTCAGCACAAGGGCCGTCGTGAACGTCCGCATCATCACGGCCAAATCCTCCACCAGGATACATCGACGAGACTCTCGATCGGCTTCTCGGACAACCTTCACCTCCCCAGCAGAGACGGTAGGAGACCGAACACCGTGAAAATAGCCCGAATGCTGATGGCACGGCGGAACAACGTAACCCTCCTCAGTCGAGCCGGTCGTCAGATCAATCAAACCGCTGGGCTCCTCGGATCTCGGCCTCTTCGTTGCTCCCTGAGACGTAGGAGACTGACTCCATTGGGGAGAAGAAGACGAACTCTGGCCTCCCGGCGCCACAGCCTCCTGCCCGACCAATTGACTCGCCCGCGTCTTCGGGACCATGGCGTTCCTTGAAGCGCGCAGCTTCTTCACTCGCTCCTCGACGGAGGACATGTTCGCTGCAAAAACAAACAGAGAGTTAGCAACGGTCAGAACATACGATCACAGGAAAAAAGAAACATCCCTACCTATATATTCCAGAGCATCCGCCCCCGTGGCGCAACCGAGCAGGGTCTTAGTGTTAATCAGCCTCTTCTTGGTTCACACGTTCCCCTGCGCGTCGAGGATGTACCGACCATCGGGCGTCACCAGTTTCGACGGGGGAAGATCCCGCACAAAGGCAACTATTTTCATATACGCGGCCATATCCTTCTCGTCGAGGGTCCCTGCCCGCACGATATACCTGTCAGTACCGCGGTTGAAGTGCTCCGAGGTCCACAACAGATGTACCTTGGGGAGCCACGCGAGGAACCGCTGGCCGTCTACCATTCGCTCCCCCTCGGTGAAAAGAGTATCCGAGCCTTCCTGAGTGATCGGTTTCACGAGGAAGAACCGACCCTTGAAATCTCGAACAGAATCGTTGTACGTCTTGAAGAGCTTGGTCGGCTGCTTAAACGAGACCCATCCCTGACGGCCGTTCACCGACTGGCGCTGCAGGTGGAAGATGCGAAAAAACAAGGGCAACGTGGCCTCCACCTCGAGATAAAAGCACACCACCTCGAAAGCACGGATAAATGCCAGAGCGTTGGGGTGCAGTTGGGACGGAGCCAAGCGTAACCAATCGAAGAGGCCCAAATGGAAAGTGGAGAACGGCAGCCTGAGCCGATCCTCTTTGAAGTAGAACTCGTGCATGGGGAACATCCGCCGCCCATATCGCGAGCAGATGCGATGGTGCTCCTTCGGGCGGTACACCTGCCAATGTTGTGGCTCCCCTTCAGGCGTGTCCTCGACGGTAGCGTAGACATCAGACGCATCGGCCACGAAGCAGGAAGGGGTGGACAGCGGCTCTTCGGCCACCCATTCCTCGACCGGGACGACGCGCTCGTCGAAATCCGGGACCTCGGGTTCATTATCTTCGACCATCGTCCCCGGTACCAAGGCCGACATCTACACCTGAAAAGTAGAGGACAACGGTGAATTCGATAGCCAAGATCAAATCCACCCTTCCACCGCAGGTCAAGTGAAAGGGCGACAAAGGCGGGAGAACGACGAGCGAGCAAGCGCTCCCCGCCGCTCCTCCACGGGGCATTCAAGGGCCAACCTATCATCCCTCCTCGGGATACTCATCGGAAAAAGCGCGTGTCCCCGAGGCATTCATCGGAGAAAGCCCCCGTCCTCGGGACATTCACCGGAACAACCAATTCTCCCCGGGGTATTCATCGGAACTGACCCAGAAAACCGCCAGATACGGCGGAACTCGCGTCTCTCCACGGGGCATTCATCATGCCCCGACCACAGACCCTAATTAAACGGAAGAAATAAAAGGAGAAGAGAAAGAAAAACTCACTTGTAATGGCGGCGAACGGGAAGAAGAACTAAACGGCGCGGCAGCGATCTACTGCAACGGCGGACGAGCAGGAATCTCAGAGCTTCACAGGTAAGACAGCAAGGTGGAAAGTAGAAAAATGAGCGGGGACCCCCATATTTATAACCCGGCGCGGGACTCGAAGCGACGCTAGGCTCTTAAATGACCTAGGGTAGCCGCCCCTACTGCCACTTAACGCGCGACACATGGCGGCAACCTGACAGTCGCGTCCTTTCACCTGCCTTCGCCCCGCTCTGCCGACGACGAGGAGACCCCCGCACGAGCGCACGTTCCACCGTGCACAAACCCGACGAACCTCCCGTTCCACTACCTCTCTCCCCGACGCAGCGACCTTAAGTCCTCGCTCTTCCACCACAGAGCTTCGACTTGGGGGGCTCCTGTTCTGGTCTGGGCCCAGCCTCGCGGTCCAGCCCAATAACGCACAAGACCCATTAAGTGGACTAGCCCGACCGGGCACACGCACCACCGTGGGACGGACAGGGCACGCACCCCGCCGGGACGGATGACCCGTCCTGCAGCGTCCCAACGCCCCCTTTGTCGGTCGAACCGAGCACCCCCGGTCCGTCGAGCAAGACCCTTGGTTCTTCCACGTCCACGCGTGCTCCCCTCCGCAGGGAGAACAACGTGCTCGCAGGGAGTCCCTCGAGCTCCCCTCCGCGGGGAGAACATCGTGCTCTCAGGGAGTCCCTCGAGCTCCCCTCCGCGGGGAGAACAACGTGCCCCCTCCGCGGGGACACGTCAGCAACCAACTGCCCACCTCCGAAAGAGCAGGTCAAACCCACTTTCTGGAGATCAAGGAGCAGTTGGACTAGGGCAAAGACCACGTTCTGGTCTTCACTACGCCACGTAAGCCCTAACAGTCATTAGGGTTGGGTCTGGTCATCCAGCCCACCTCAAATGACCGTTGGCCCAGCGCTGGGTCTCCCTATAAATACCCTCTTCCTCAAGAGGGTCAGGTAACACACTTCTTACCCCTTTTCTGTACTTTGCTCTCGCTCTGCCCAATTTCTCACTTTGACATCGGAGTGTCTTGCAGGTACACCCCCCTTTTCCTCCTCAGCACCGGTTAACAAGCAGCAGTCCAACAACGTGTGGCCAGTCCGTGATCCCCTTCTGATCAGGTCAAATCACCACCTAATAATTATTTTCACATCGCCAAAATCATATGTCTTTCAGAAATGCGAAACCCCTTTAGATAGTCACATTCACTGTCGTAAAAAAAACGTCGCGTCCAACCATCAAAGCCATGAAAGCTCGCATCCAACCATCAAAATTTCAGATCTGAATCGTCGCCTCCACTCTGTCTGATACGTGCCGACGATGTCTTATCCTCCCTGAATCCATCACCATTGGTATCTTCTTTTCCCTTTCATACATGGCCTATATTGTTTGTTTTTGTTTTGGTTTGTATTGAATGAAAGTGGATAAGATAAAATATTAATGAGTACTTTTTTTTATTATATCGCTCTTGTTTGAAGGAAGAAAAAGAATTTTTTTTATTGAATAAAAGAGAGAGTGTTCAGTGAAGAAGAAAGCATGAAAATAATATAATTTTTTTGGAAATATGTTCAAAATTCTAAGAGGGAAGGGTTGGAGCCAAACAATAAAGCGGAAGATTGATAGACTAACGGGGTATTTTGGACATTTGCATAACATAATATGTTAACAAACACAAGTTTAGTGGAAAGGTTGACCTTGTTTGCTTGGGGAAAGGAATAGCGAAGGAAGAAAAAAATGCCTGTGACCAAAAAACGAAACTAGCCTTTTTGTTTTGCTCTGTCCACATCAAACCAAAGAAAGAAGCGTGTATATTTTCATTTTCAATCTTCACTCTTTTCCCTCTCGACGCTTCTCTCAAATCCACTGCCTCTGGTTCACTCACCCTGCTCCTCCACCATTCCGTTCCGAAGCTCTTCTTCACCTTTTCAGATAAGGCCCTCTGATACACAACCCCTTGTATTTGTATCGTCACTCACAACGTGTTTGTTAAAATGCCCCAACCAAATTAGTTCCTTGATTTGATTTTTTTATTTTTTTATTTTCAACTTATGCTTTGTAAACTATAATGACTGTGATTGCATCAATTTTATTAGATTTAGAATGATGGGTCTTTTGTAAAAGAGCCATTTGGTCCAGAATCAAGTAGCGTTGGCTCTGGTTCTTGTATTTTTTCTCGACTCATTTTTTTCTCTCCAACACAACACAGTGGTGATGTTGGTGGACGAGAGCAAGTTCGACGTGCAGTTGAAGCTGTGGGCCCTTCGAATACCCTGCCAATTTTGCAAGGCTGCCACTCGAATCCTCAACGGGTATCTCTATCTCTCTCTCCCCATTCTTTCCATGCGATTAGCTGCACTTTTTATTTTTATTTTTTTTAAATTTAAATTTTGCTCTGATTAATTGTGCAGTTATTTGCTTGACAAGCCTCGTGTTAAACCCATCGCCGAGGACCCAACTTGTGAAAAAAACCGTTACCTTATACTTTCCGATAAAGTTCAGAATCAAGGTATGATTTTTTTTCTTCTTTGGAATTTTTTTTCTTTTTATTATAATATATTGTATTATAGTTTTTTTTGGTTGCGCTTATCTGTGAGTTGATTTGGCCTGGGTATGTTTCAGATTTATCCGATATCCCAAAGCAAAAGCTTGATGAGCTTAAGGACTTGTGTGAGATTGAAGTTTTGCCCTATTCGTTGACATTAGGTTATTCATACTGGAGTGCAGGTTGGTTCCACTGTTGTCTTGAAGCTCAACGAAGAAACTGTCTTTGAACATTATTTCTGGATGCTGACTTACCAGTTACCACCATATTTGTTTGAAAATTTATGAGCTTTGTGTCATATTTTTCCCATGTCAAACTAAATCTTCAAATCTTTATAACTGCATGCTTAATTGTCTTTTGTAATACACATACATATACAGACACACCCATGTGGTGACACGTATAGTTCACCCGTTTTTTTATTGGTGTATTGGTGCTCCGCATGTTTAAAGTACAGCTGTAGTATCAGTACACCAGTACACAAGGATGTGTTGTAAGTGGACAATGATTCACCCAATACTTTCCACTTACGTACACTAATAGAAGTGCATTACTTCTTTCTGGTCTAATTTGTTATTGACCCCGATTTCTGTGGTGTTACTGTTTAATTGCAGTATTCACAGTTTTGTCAATTGCGATTTGCGCATAGTGGAAAATATCGGATTGTTAAGTGCTAAAGCGCTGTTATAGCGGCTATTTGACAACAATTTGTACTAAGTAGTGTATCGCGGAACAATAGCGGTTTGTCCAAATTCTGATGCGCGATAGCGGCTATTTAACATTGAATATTCGTATGTTAGTCAAAGTAGAAACACTTTTTTCTAATGATACAGTTGTTTCTCACATCATGCTTTCTTCTTCCCTACAAATATTTACAATTGTCTGGCAAATTATGTCTGTAGATCAAGTGCTGAAGCAAATACTGCCTAATGGAGTGGAAGTACCTTCATCTTTTGAAACAATAGTTAAGTATTTAGAAGTTATATAATTTTTTTGAGTGATACCAGTTTATGACCTGTACTGTTTTATTTTACCTGTTCTTGATTTATTTTTGATAACTGCTATTATCTGTTTTACACTGTTTCATTCATTCGACTCATATGATACATTATTCCTTAATATCGATTCCTTAGCGAAAACTAGCGAGCTTTTCAATTTTGTTAACAATTAAACCTGTTTGGTTAGCCACTGATTGTGACCTCACATCTGTCCTAATTATACAGGTCACATTGCTCACTTAAACCTACACGATGAATTACTTCCCTTCAAGGATGTTATTGCGAAGGTTATTTATGATGTACGTATGAACATTTTAAGTGGTTTAGTTTTATCTCTTTATTCCTAAAAAAGCTGTTTGTGTATAGTTACTGGCTTGCTGGTTCTTGGTGCACTAGTCTTGTTTAATTGCTAATGTTAGATACAAAGATGCAATGAATGATGATAATCTTCACTGAATTGTTTCTTTTTACTTTTAGTTTGGAACAGTCAGCATTTTGTCATCTTTTAGGCATATAAATGTAATTGTTGTCACAATATGGAAAAAATCCTCTTTAGGCATTAGTTTTTATGGTCCTGTTAGACCCCACAGCTAATACTTTGAGGGGAAGGAGAGGAATTTAGACTGTAACTGTAGTGGGTTGTAGAAAACTTGCCTATGTGACAAGGAGCGTGGGAAAAGGAGTTAGTTCTTTAGGAATAAGTAAGGATAGAAGAGAAAGAGAGAGAAGGATCAGGGGGAGTTAGGTAAAAATTGAGTAAAGTAGATAAGTTTCGATGGGATGGGATATTTGGGTATCCACAGAATTTCCTCAATCGTCTTTCTTTCTTTATTTTTGTTCTATTTTCAGAGGGCTACCTTCGTCTGTAAGCAGTTTAGTCACCCTATTTTGTACTCTAAATTCTGAGTTTCTGTCAGCTCTATTTGATGCTACTACCTTATTTTAGAACTGTTGATCTGGTATTCACATTCAATTAAATTGTGTTTGAAATAAATTGAATAATGGTATGTTAGTGTGATAATACCCTTTACTACAAAAATATCCATTGCAAGATTAATTCACAAAAACTATCATTTAATGTTGAATATACTCTTCTATACGTGTTTTGCCAAGTAACTTTAATGATTTCCCCTATTATGCAGAAAAATTATCCAAGAATCAAAACTATTGCTAATAAAGTTGGAAACATTACAAATGAATTTCGTGTTCCAGAATTTGAAATTTTAGCAGGAGAGCATGATATGATTACAGAAGTGAAGCAATATGGCGCCACTTTTAGGCTTGATTACAGTCTGGTTTATTGGAATTCCAGATTGGAACATGAACACAAGAGGTTAGTTTCAATGTTCCAAGCTGGAGAAATCATTTGTGACATGTTTGCTGGTATAGGTCCTTTTGCCATTCCTGCCGCACAAAAAGGATGCTTAGTCTATGCAAATGATTTGAATCCAAATAGCATCCACTATCTGAAGATTAATGCCAAAATCAACAAGGTTGATGATCACATATCTTCATACAACATGGATGCTAGAAAGTTCATATCCCAGCTGATGGAAGTGCCAAATTCTGAGCATAAAATGGAAAATGATGTTCCCGTTTCTGTTACATGTCACACATGCAAGGTACAAGACAATACTGAATCAAATTCAGAAAATGAGTTGCTAAGAGGTAACATTTTTGTGGTAGTATCTATAATTGTGATGCGAGAACATGTTACTTGATACTAATTTTTTTCTTACAGTTGATACAAAAGACCTAGGAAACTGCTCTAACACTAACACTAATACTACTTTAGAGGATATTCAAGGTCCAGCAGGGCATACTGCTAAGTCTGCAATAGGTGTCAAAAGATCTTGCAGTAGTTCTGATGAAGGTATTTTATAGACTACAATGACACCTCAGGCTTCCATGACAAGTAGCCACTATCTGATCTTCTAGCTTGTAAAATCTCTTACAATTCAATTCTGGATTTAAAAGACAAAAAACCTTTTTGTCTAGTAGTCTCATCTTCTGCAGAAGTGAGTACAGCACTGATAACAATACTCTGTAATATTGAAAGTAAGACTTACAGTTTTATTTTTGTTTGACAGCGAATGGAAAGGCTCATGGCACTGACATCCTTGAAGGTGGTGGCAAAAAAGGAAGTGCAAACAAGAGAAGAAGAGGGTTTGATATCTCTGTCCCCAAAACTTGGGAACATTTTGACCACGTAATAATGAATCTACCAGCATCTGCTGTTCAGTTTTTAGGTACAAATACAATAGCATTTGATTTGGATTAGTTTCTATTAAAAATTATTTGGCCATTTATTACCTTAGACAAGACCCTTATTTTTTTCATATCTTAGTAGGATTGAAACTTGTCCTTATCCTGTTTTTGGGTTAGTGAATAACTCTTCTGTATCAATCAAATTTATGCTGGGCGAGGCCATTGACTGTTTCTCTGACGTCAACATTTTTTAATGATTTGGCCATTATAATCTAAACCGCAATCCGTTCATGACATTATTTTTTAACACTGTTAATTTGTGTAGTGCAGTGTTATTGAATGTATGGATATTCTTCTATTTGACTATTTTTTATTGCTATTTTAAAGATATATACATCGATATCTGACTACTGATATGCCCTGCCAGATGCATTCAGGGGATTGATCCAGAGGAAATATTGGAAAGGACATCTACCATGGATCCACTGCTATTGCTTCATTAGGGCAACTGAAACTCCTGAATCTATAATAGCTGTGAGTTTATGCTGCTGGTGTTTCGTTTTTTTGTCATTCTGTTATGGCTAGAATATAGTAGTATTTTACAAACTTCTGGTATTTGTTTAACTTCTGTCCGAGCATCTTGGTTTTGCCAGCTACTTGGATATATATACTAATCAATTATGTGTACTTAGTTTTTTCAGACAGTTAATTGAACTTTATATTGCAGGTAGCAGAATCTGCTTTAAATGCTTCTATACTAGATTCAAGGTTTCATAGGGTTAGGGATGTTGCTCCAAACAAGGTATGATTAGTAATTCAACATAATAATATTTAGACCACATTGGCAACTTAGTATTATTCTAGTTGATTTTGTAGAACATTTATAATTAACTAGTTGCGGCTTTGCTTTTTATGCAGGCAATGTTTTGTTTAAGCTTCAGGTTGCCAGAAGCATGCCTTTGTGAAGATAGTCAGTGATACTGTCCTTAGCGATGCTGCTGATGAGAAACTCCTTTGTGAAGACAAGGCCATGCCCGACTCCGAGACTAGCATACTGAAACATGAAAAATTAGCAAATTTTTTGAAGCTCTTGCCGGGTATTTGCTGTACTTAAAGTGTAATCTGATAATTAGATCAACTAAAATTAGTCATGTATGACCCTTTGATTTGAATATGAACTTTTTTCTTTTTGTTAAATTTGAGTTACTTTTGGTTCTCCTCTCATATGGGGTGAATCCGGTCTTAGTTCCTGTAAAATAAACAGATTTTACTCCTTTTATATTAGATTATTCAACTTTTAGTTTTATTTGACTCAACAAGTTTTAAAACAAAAATAATAATTTGGGAGCAAATCCAAAGCACATTATTTTCTTTCTCTAACCCCTTTCTCTCATCAACTTGACAACCTCTCTTTTCTTCTTTACCATACAAAGAAGTTTCCAAATGACATAAAATGTTGATCTTGATAGATATGTCAATGTTATTATGTTACCATGCAGAAATGCATTAAGGAACACAATTTCCACTTGTAGCAAAAACAGTCTACACTCTTCAATTATCTATATTTGAAATAGAAAAAGCTCTTTTACAAAACAAAAATGGATCCTTAAACGTACGAGCTTTTATTAAAGCAAAAAGCTACATACTTTGCAAAAATTAGAAGAAAAAAAAGACAGAGACAAAGCAAGTGAGAGATATGATAAGATACATACACGTAAATTGAAGGTGGAAAGTTACATATTTGACTACGCATGTCCCTCTTCTATTCTGGTCAATTAAAGTCAATGCATTTTCATCGACCAAAGTTTCTAGTGTTCCCATTTTGCATGCATTTATTTATAAGCTTCCACTTTGAAAGCAATGGCACTACATTTGACTACGTAAGCACAGAAAAAACAAATAATAATACAGAATTCGACACTTCCACCACATTACTACTCATGTCTTAGTCATTGATCTCACAATCTAAAAGATAAACGTTTTAGCTTTGAAATTAATACGTTTTTTGTAATGCTTTATTTGTTTGTTTGTTATGAAATAGAAATGATTTAGTAACTTATGAGAGATATACCTTTTAAATGATGTTGAAGTTTAGTTATATATTTTAAATTTAATTTATATACAAAGTATTAGCTAGTACACATGAATTAGTTGATTATTGATGTAAGTTTTGTTGTGAGATTATGTCTCTTTTGGACTGATTTTAGTGGCATCGGTCGACCATTATGAAGTGATTATGATTTTTTTAAATTTTTTTCAGCATATGAGGACTTTCATAATCACAAAAGATTTCAACTACATTTTTTTATGTAATTTATTCAAAACAAATAGCAAGTTTCTCTCTCTCTCTCTCTCTCTCTCTCTCTCTCTCTCTCTCTCTCTCTCTCTCTCACACACACACACACACACACACACACACACACACACACAATTCAGGTAACAAATTTTAAACACAAGTTTAGAGTGTGAACTTTGCAGGCTAGTCCCCTCTCCATCGCGCCAGAAACTTAGATTCACCATCACTTTCGGTTCTTGCTCTATTTCTGATTCCATAATGAAACAATCAGGAGTTTTGTTTCTTTGTGTTTCTTTGTGTACTCCTCCTCCTCCTTATGTACAAGAGCAACTTGCAATTATAAACTAAATACGACATTTTTTTACATATCCGTTTCTTTGCGTTTGTGCGTAACAACTATGAATCTGGGGTATGATTGAGAGGATCGAGACTCGATACAAAAAGTCAGCGGTGCTCTCGGAGATGCTTTGCATGTATTACTACAACAATTAAATCTCCATGACACAAAACACGCACCAAAAATTAAGGGGAATTTCAAAGGCGCTTTGCACGTCAGACTGTAACAATCAAATTTCCACGACACAAAACATACACCAAAAGTCAAGGGTGCTGTCAGAGACACTTTGCGCGCCCGACAAAGAGGCGATCTCTCCATCTTTGAGAATTTTATATGGTCGTACTTGATCCCTTAAGATAAGCAAAAGATGGTGAGAATGCTTCACTTGCTGCAATACATTCTCAAACGACTCCGTGACCACACCGAGGTTGACCTTCATACAATTGTACAAATGTCGAGTTAGAGAAACATTCTCAACATGCAAGAACTCTAGTTACTTCTGAGAAAACAAGAAATTTCCCTAAGTAGCAGCTAGAGCTTGGTTCTTTCTTACTACAATCCTCACTAGATGAGTCACCTAACCATCCAGAGAGCCATAGAGTTTAGGGGGGGGGGGGGGGGCAAAGCATCCTTTATCTTAGTAAGATAGGTGGCAGTTTTTGTATTTCATGCAGTTACTTCTGAGAAAACAAGAAATTTCCCTAAGTAGCAGCTAGAGCTTGGTTCTTTCTTACTACAATCCTCAATAGATGAGTCACCTAACCATCCAGAGAGCCATAGAGTTTAGGGGGGGCCAAAGCATCCCTTATCTTAGTAAGATAGGTGGAAGTTTTTGTATTTCATGCAATTACTTCTGAGAAAACAAGAAATTTCCCTAAGTAGCAGCTAGAGCTTGGTTCTTTCTTACTACAATCCTCAATAGATGAGTCACCTAACCATCCAGAGAGCCATAGAGTTTAGGGGGGGCCAAAGCATCCCTTATCTTAGTAAGATAGGTGGAAGTTTTTGTATTTCATGTAGTTACTTATCCCGTTGTAGCTTCAGATTGTGAACACTCTCTTCCAACTACTTCTTCTCAACACGGTGCTGGTCAGATCAAAGAGCTTCCTAACGTCTAGCTCTGCCAAGATCCAAATCAAAAGAAGCACACCGGATGTACCGAGCCAGAGTAGTCATTTCTTCCTTCAGGGAAATTGACCAAATATGCACATTCCTCTTCGAAAGGACGGGTCTGATAGTCTTTGGAAGAACACAAGCTCAGCCGCGTTAGCAGTAGACGGACATGAAAACCCGATATGCTCACCAATGTCAGGAGAGTATTCAAAGCAGCATCACTCTCCACCGACCATATTCTTCGTTTTATAAGCCAGAGTTGTACTTTATCCATCCAATATGCACACAATCATGATTAAAATAAATAAGTTAATAAAAATCATATTAAAAATAAAGAAGCCAAGAGTTTCATAACTTAACAAAAAATAACTTTTTTCTTCCTAGGAACGGGCTTCCATCAGCAACTGAACGTTAATAAGGTGTTTTCGATATTTTCGTTTGGCCTTATACGTGGGGGTACCTCCTCCGAAATAACTCAAGTAGCGAATGAAGCTCGTCATTCATTTCTTCTGATAAAGATCTTCACCATAAATATTGTATCCTATTTATACACATACAAATTTCTCTCCATAAGAAAGTGACTTCGAATCTAGTACTTGAGGAATAACTCATCTTCCATCCATTTCATCCCCAATAGAGTAAACTGTAGCATGAGTTTTTGGGAGGATAAGGGTGACCATAAAGAACCGATCTTCAAAAGGCGGTAGCTCGGGAAGAGTTTCAAAGATAAGAACGGTCGACTCTAGAAAAACTAATCCACTTCTTCGAGTCTGAACTATAGAACCCTAGTGGCATTTACAAAGATGAAAGAAAAGGGTCACAAAAGGATTTTCTTTCAATTATTCACACCAATACTAATAAACCTTCAGATATGTCCAACTTGCAGGATAAAGTTGTGAAGGAGTCTTGCCAGATGCTTCGGGACTTCTATCTCAAAGGCATTAAAGGGTAGACAAAGACCCAAAATCGAGAAAGTGCTTTCGTAAAAAGGATTGATCCAATCACCATATTTACTACATATCCTTTCATTCTCGGTTGAAGTTTAGACACTCCAATTTGATGATGAGCCAACTTCAAGAAAGGCTCCATCAAGACTATAAATTTTTGTGAAAGTATAATCGGTAGAAGAGTAGATAAAATCCATCAAGAAGATTGAGTATTCTTTGGGGGTTTGTAAGCACTCTTCTGTGGTTTTTTTACCCATAATGCAATATCTTATCAGATAAAAGAAAACAAAATGTCAAAAAGGAAGATAACTTTTAAACTAGGAAAATGAATCAAAAGAAAGCAATGTTACTCTTCAAGAACTTTACTCTAGCATGCAAAAGGAAGTAAACTCTATCAAATGTGTCAAATTACTTGTACACAACACTTAAGTGTTTCAGCTTTCAAGAGTCGTAATGATGACACATTCGAAAGGACATTTGAAGTATGGTGCATTAAATGCATGAATCCCAAAGAAACTGAAACATTTCTCTTTCACTTTCCCAAAGGTAAAGAAATAGTAGTAAACATCCGAGGCTAATGCGACAAACCTTTGCATTGCTATGTAGAGACACAGGCTGGGGGAGAGGGCAACCGTTCTAGGCCGATCATATCGGCATCGATTGACCACCATGAAGGGAACATAATCCTTATAGAATCTTCCTTGCACACGAGGACTCTCACTCTGATAATCACAAAAGATCTCAATTGCATTCACATCCAACGGTTCTTCGCAGTTTACTCCTATAAAATAACAAGTTTGTTATTTCCTCTCTCTCTCTCTTTATTTATCTATCTATCTATCTATCTATCTATCTATATATAGAAAAGAAGTGATCCATTTACCCAACAATATATACTTAGACAAAATCATATATTCTAATGAACTCAAAATTTGTTACACTTATGTAATATTTATTTTATTTTTCATTAAAAATTGGAATACATTAATTTCTCTTTGATTACATCATTCATTCACTTTCAATCAGTCAACTTGTTATAAAATAATTTATCTAAAAATAATTAATAACTTATTGCCTAAATGCACTATGATGCATGGCCTAGTCCTTTTACTGTAATTAAGATTAAGATAGTACCAAAAAAAAAAAAGATTAAGATAATAATGAAGATAATACCAGAGCTTAACACTAATGCAAAAACATGCTGGCATTATAACTGAACTAAGAAAAGAATCTTTGTTCAATCTTCTACTTTTCATGTTTTTTTTTTTTTTTTTTATAAATTATA